ACAAGTACTCCTGTTCTTCTTTTTGCGGATACAGACTAACACGGCTGCTACTCTGAAATCTGGAGGAATGTGAATTAATACTATGAATGCTTTTAAATCACTACATTCACAATTACAGTCTAAATTTCACTCCCTGGAAAAAAATAGTAGCAACACCTTTAAAATTAGGGACAAGACATTAAAAAATCTTTTGGCAGGGAAACATCAGTCATTTTAATAATGTGTCATTTAATAATTAGAATTGGAATTCCACTGAAATTTTTCATATAGTATTCTTCAAGTACAGTATGCATGGGCTAGCTTGGGCAAAGGCGAAGAGCAGCTTGCTAAAGATTTCACAAAGGGAGTTTCAATCTACTCAGCCCAATTTTCTTGAGATGACTGTCTCACTAAAGTCAGCTGTCATTTGCATGAAAGATTCAGGCATTTCATTTTCTTAAAACTACTCCTTATTCTACTTTCCACTCACTAATTAAAAAACAAACAAAAAACCAGGACAACTGAAAGACGGTATATGTCCACAAGGAAAATACAAATTGAGGTGGTAGCTGGCATGATGGGTGCATTAAATACCAGAAATCATGTTTGCTATTCCCATTTGAGAATATTTAATCTTTATGAGCCATAGGTGACCAAAGATGCAGAGCTTGATCCTGCATCCAGTGAATGTAATGGCCAAACCTCATTGATATCCATGGTGTGATATCAGGCCTATAGTCACAATACCAACAAGCTAATGGCAAAGAAAAAAGGAAAACGAAGTTCAATGTAAGTTTTGAGAGATTTTCAAAGAAAAAAGTTATTATAACTTGTCCTTTCTGAGGGGTCAGCAGTTGGTAGAGGCAGTCTCTGAGGGTGTACATTGCATTATTGTACCAATTTGTCACTTAAATTAAAGCCATTTAGTCTGTTATTTAGTGCACGGCTGCAGAACTGATGTGTTTTATTTTATTTGTAATGTGTTTTTTTACAGATGGAAAGACTATTTGTGGAAGTGGAACTTGGGAAATTCCCATCAGGAAGCCTTAAAGATGTGGTTTATAGTCAAAATCATCTATGGGAACAGACACAACAATATGAAAAGATCAAGCTGCACCATGTGGCATTTATTTCCCAGTTTTTGAATTCTGCAGAGATACCATTGCTCCCACAAACTCCTCTTTTTTTCACTTCTGGTATATTTTATAGGATGCTGTTTTGGGAACCTAGTCCCCATAAAATAGACACGCATACATTCATTCAGGCCTGGCAGCCCATTTGTCTGTCACAATCGGCAGATTCATTGCTATTGTCCTCTTAATTATTAGAAAATTATTGTATTATTTTGTATATGTGTTCATTATTCACTATTTGTTACTCCTTATTTGCCTATTTAAAAAGGTTTAGTCATCCAGTCAGGGAAAAGAAGGAATCCCAAATGTCTCAGGGGAACAGTCACATATAGTACCATGAATAATGACTAGCCAAAGTGGACAGTTCACAAACACTCAATAGGGTGAAATTTGACCAGCTCTACTTCCCCATTTGCATCCAGCCGTAAGTATGTGCAGAATTTCATGAAGATCAGATTCAATTTACACTCTGCTTTTGCTTCTTCACCCAAACAGGTTATTATTACATTGTTTTATCCAGAGGCAGCATTGCTAAAATGATCTCCACCTGGTCCACTCACCAAACTCTATTGGTTGATTTATTACCTAGTATATGTAATATATGTTTTTCTTTGACTTAATGATTTCCCATCCTTCACTTTTCTTTTTACCTCTTTGTCTATTTTGTATTGGCTTTTCACTTTAATCTTTTTTTCATGACACACTTTCTCTTCCTTTTCATTCCTTTTTCTTTTATTTCTACTACATGTAGTATTTTGTATTTCCTCCCCTTATTTCTTTTGTGTTTTGTTTTCCGTTGCTTCTCAAGATTTTGTTTGTTTGTTTGCTCTATACTTCTGCTGATTTCTGTTCAATGGTCAAAATGCTACTACTATGTTTTCCATTTCCAATGAAAGCTATTGAGGGATAATAACCACACATTATTCTTACATTTAGGTTCTTCTGTAATTCTTCCAGTTCATGTAAAGCAATGGAATTGCCATGTGGACATGAGTTCTTAAACTAGAAGACTCTAAATCCTTCACATAATCCTTCACATAACAAAAGAACCGGGGATTACCCAATGAAATTAAGAGGCAGCAGGTTTAAAACAAACATAAGGAAGTACTTCTTCATGCAATGCATGGTCAACCTGTGGAACTCACTGCCCAGGGATGTTGTGAAGGCTAAAATTATAACTGGGTTCAAAAAAGAATTAGATTCATGGAGGATAGGTCCGTCAATGGCTATTAGCAAAGATGGTTAGGGCTGCAACTCCATACTTCAGGTGTCCCTAAACCTCCAACTACCAGCAGCTGGGACTGGGCCACAGGGGATGGATCACTGAAAATTGCCCTGTTCTGTTAATTCCCTCTGAAGTGTCTGGCACTTGCCATTATCAGAGATGGGACCCTGGGCTATATGGACCATTGGTCAGACCCTGCATATAGGGTGACCAGATGGCCTGATTTTATAGGGACAGTCCTGATATTTGATCCTTCTTTTAATATGGGCTCCTATTACCCCGCACCCCCTGTTCCGATTTTTCACACTTACTATCTGGTCATCCTACCTGCATGACCTTTCTTAAATCCATAAGTAAACAGGGCTTTCCTCATTTAGAACTAGATTCTGAAACCCTTTCTGACATTGGGTAGCACAGGGATCAGCAACCTTTGGCACGCAGCCCGCCAGGATAAGCACCCTGGTGGGCCGAGCCGGTTTGTTTACCTGGCGCATCCGCAGGTTTGGCCGATCACGGCTCCCACTGGCCGTGGTTTGCCGCTCCAGGCCAATGCGGGCTGCGGGAAATGGCGCGGGCCAAGGGATGTGCTGGCCGCTGCTTCCCACAGCCCCCATTGCGTGCCAAAGGTTGCTGATCCCTGGGGTAGCGCCTTACCTCAGAGGCAGTCCCATTGACTTCATTTGGGCTATTTACAAAGTAAATGTATCAGAATCTAACCTTAATAACCAGTTATATCATCTTACACACCCACATTTAGTCACATGATGGAGTCCCTTCTTCCAGACTGGGATGGGAGTGGAATAATACTAAAGGGTACCAGGCTGGGGACTGGGTGTCGTTTTCAGGTTGGTGATAGGGGATGGATATAGTCACAGAATTCTGTCCACCCAAAAAAACAGTGGCAGGGAACAGGTGCCTGTAGTCTTGAACTATTTTAATATGATGATTCAGAGTCAGTCCATCTTTCAGATGCTGAATATGCTATTGAAGAGCTTGGGGAGGCCTTCAAACTCAAGTCTATTCCAACTGCACCCTTCAGTGCCCTTTAAGAGGTAATTACTGACAATGAACCATGATAGAAGGCACTGCATCTCAGGATTCTGTACTGTACTCATTGGTAGGACTTTCTAGTGTGGCATCTACTTTTTTCCTTGGGGGCTCCATCCAAGTAACTCTGCAGCTTAAACTTACTTTTGCCGATATGATCACAGCTTTTAGTGACTGCCTTTTAACAAGGCCTTGTGCTTTGTGAGAAAATCCTTGGTTCATTCTTACAACCCCCACACCGCTATATAGATAGAGGACATCAGAATGTTTGTACTTTTTGTATGCATCCCTCCACTAGCACCACTCAAATAAGATGGCTGTCAGAAAAATGATTTTCCTTAGAGCTTTCTGTTTGAATAAAACAGGGCTTCCCAGAGGATTCAGGGGGCCTGGGGCAAAGCAATTTCGGGGGCCCCTTCCATACAAAAAAGTTGCAATGCTATAGAATACTATATTCTCGTGGGGGCCCCTGCGGGGCCCAGGGCCTGGGGCAAATTGCCCCACTTGCCCCCCCCCCGCCCCCTGGGCAGCCCTGGAATAAAACTAAACCAGCAAATAGGGCTATAAACTGCAAAAAATAAATTAATTTAGCTTGTTCATCTAGGTGTTTAATGCAATTATTTTTTTGACCGATCTGCACAAACTGAAGCTTCTAAATTGTGCGTAAGGGAATGAAATAGATGGATTCAAATTCACTTTTGTTGGTTGAAAATGTGAAGATCTGTAATCCATCAGCCCTTCTCCCTAAAGCACCATTTAGACAGCTCATGCTGCCTTCCATCAACAGTAAGTACAAAAAATTATATTTAAATAATATTAAGGTTATGACACAAATTAACAAAGTCTAGGCAATTGCAATAGCTGAACATGTGTCCTTAAAGTCATTGTGTTCAAAACAAAACAAGGCAGGCAAAGCAGTGGAAAAGGTGAGGACAACATCAGCCTTACATTGAATTGGCTGACTTTTGTTGGGTTGATACGTCTCTCTTTAAAAAAAATAAATAATCTTTTTGCTTTTTATTTATTAAAAGAAGCCACAATGGATAGTTTCTTCAACTCCTTCTACAACTTTTATACAGTACTTTCTTCTAAACTTTCATTTGGCTGGCAGTCTGGACAATGCCAGAAGTCTATGAGCTAAAACTCAAAAATGGAGCTGGTCAGAACACAGAAGCTGAAATATTTCATGGAGACTTTGAGAAAGGTTTCTAAGATCCAGGATAGAATTTCTGTTCAAAATCGAAGAGAGAAACTCGCCCTACCCTGAATAGCTAATAACCCAGTGACTAGGGTACTTACCTGGACTCCAAATCAGAGCCTTGAATTTTTGTCTCCTGTATCCCATGTGAATGACCTAATCACCAGCCTACAGGGTTGGTCTGGTTTTCTCAGGCTCAGCAAATGTTAATGTTATGCAAGGTAGAACAGCGCCAACAGGCAAAGTTAAGCCCAAAAGATAAACTAGCATTTGGAGATCCCAGTTCAAATCCCTGCTCTGTCTGATTGGGAATTAAGGTGAGTTCCCCATCCTATGGGTTACTATGGGGTGAGAATTCTCTCTCTGGCTCTTTTAGTGAAAACATTCAAAAGGTCCTGGTTTTGTTCTGCGTCAGAACAGAACCAGAAAGTGAACCTTTAATTTCACAAAACAGAATTCCTGGTTTTGGGCCAGCCCTAGTCCAGTGGAATCTGTGCGGTTATTCATGGTATAAGGAACTACTTAATGTAAGGATGAAAAAATCAGGCCCCAAATGATTTACCTGAAATGAAATTTCATTGAAGGTCCCTTAGATAGCTCTGTTTTTCAAACAAGCATATTTTTATCTAGACCATATGACTAGATACACATTTAGTAACAATTCAGTAAAGAAGACTGTTCAGTATTTTGGTGGTGGGAGGATATATTAGGCTTTTTTCTGTACTGTTTTGGCTAATGCAGTGGTTCTCCACCCTTCTCTGGGGTAGACTTCCTTTGGCTGATTACTGGATGTGTGATCCCTTCCTATCTATCCTTGTTGCATGATCTGCAATCTTTTTTTCTTCTGTCGATGTCTTGCCTTATATTGCTTCTGTTCTCTGTGCTGGGGATTTCCTCTCACATCTTTGTTCTTGTCACTATATCACTGTAAATTTTTGTGCTTTCTAATTTTTGTTCTTTTGTTTTTGTTATGTCATTTTGTGGGTCTCCATCTCTGTTCTGCATCCAACAGGGCATCCCCTGGTGGCTCCATGGGGTGGGCCTGGGTCACAAAAGCTCTTATAGTTTAGCTGAATGCTGTGGGAGCAGGGGAGAGAAGTATGGGCCTGTGGGCTGTTTCTTGAATCTGCAGGCCTGTTAATATGAGATATTCCTGTGTCTGCCTGCATTAGAGATCAGCATGGGAAGAGAGATGAAAGTGAGGTGGACTCCAAGGAGCCATCTGCTACTTTACCCAGAGCACAGGAGCGCAGAGTGGGGAAGGGGAGGAGAGATCAAGAATCACACAACTTTCTCCACCTCCACACTTCTTCTCTTCTCCCCTGCCCCTCCTCCCTGTCCCCTGGATGGGAAATACTGAGTTAATGAATGCATGTACAACAGCGCTCTAGTGTATGGAATATCCAACTTCATTATGCCTCATTCTAGTAGCTAGAAGAGAACATGAAATCTTGATACTAGGGCATCTAATAGAAACTCCTTTAGATCAGCTGGTACAGGTCACTGTTTTTGAGCTGATGGTCAGAGTGGGATATCTGCTGGACACTGCAAAGTCTGTGTAGCCACAGTATGTGAAATATCTTTCAGAATAATCACAGAATAGATATTACACCCACACAAATACTATATTAAAATAAGACAATTAAGATTGCAAAGTCAAGCACTATATAGTTAGGAAATGCCAGAATTAAGGTTGCCCCCTTAAACATATGGATTATGATACAATGTTTAATTATATGACCACATTCTTTCCCTTGGAACCCTGCCTCATTCAGTATACAGGATGGACAATGCTCACGTAACGAGCAGCTATTCAATATTATGTTTTCGTCTCAACCTGGATATGCAAGTGCAAAGTACTCCACTTAGGAAGAAACAATCAGTTGCACATACGCATAAGGTTGCCAGGTTAAAAGTCTGGTTGGCAGTGCAGCGGGACAGGCAGGCTCCCTACCCAGCTCCATGTGGCTCCCGGGAAGTGGCCGGCATGTCCGGCTCCTAGGTGGAGGGGTGGCCAGGGAGGCTTCACACATTGCCCTGGTCAGCAGGCGTCACCCTGAGTGCTGGCTCCACAGCTCCCATTGGCTAAGGACCAGTTGTCATCCAGGGCTGGAGCACCAATGGAAAAAAATTAGTGCCAGGTGTCCCTCTCCCCCTTACCCCCAACACCTCCTGTCCACCGGCGGCCCTGCTGATCAATTCCTCCCCATCCCTCCCATCGCCTCCCACCCGCCACAAACAGCTGTTCTTTGGTGTGCAGGAGGCTCTGGAGGGGAGGAGGGAGGAGCAGGAATGAGCTGTGCTTAGGGGAGGGGGTGAAATTGAGTGGGAAGAGGTGGGGTGGGGTTGGAGCAAGGGTGGGAAGAGATGGGACGGGGTGGATGCTTGGGAGAAGGGGTGGGAGGGGGTGAGAGTGGGAGCGGGGCCTGGGGCAAAGCAGGGGCAGGAAGAGGCGAGGTGGGAGCTTGGGGGAAGGGATCGGGGCCTGGGTGGAGTGGGCATTTGA